AATTAAAAATTAAGTTTTTATCTAATAGGATTCTTTTATGAAACTAGTCTGTTGATACTCATTGAAGCAATGAAAAACAAAAAAAAATTAAATCAGTTTATTGATGCATATCTAATTAAATATACGCATAAGTATGATTAGAAAAGATATGTATTTTAATGCTTGTTTTAAGTTCTAAATAGCACTACATAGACAACATGCATACTTTGTTTTAAATATATATATATATATAATTAAAATCATTATTAATAGAAAAATAACACGAACATAAAATGCTTTAACAATTGAATATAAAATCTATTGTAATGATTATATCGACGTTAAATCGAGATTACTATTATTATTATTTATTTAAAAAAAAAAACAATATATATTTTTGATAGCCTATAATGATATTATCAAAACATTTTTCAACATTGAATATCTTAACAAAAGAAAACAATCATTTTGATTAAAAATTTTAAGATATTCTTAGAAACGAATAAGATCTATTTGTAAATAGTATTTCAAAACGAAAATTCTTTAATCAATTATTCTTTCCATATTATGTTTTATAATTAAAAAAAAAAAACTAAAGCCCCTGCCATATTAGAAGCCCCCTCATTTTAAAGAATTTTCGAAATTTTTTTCCGTCTAATAATAATAATGATTTAACAGGTTATATTTCTTCTCGTTATATACCGTGTACTACATCAAAGAGAAGAAAGACAGACATTTATAATGAATAGAAATAAAATATAAACACCTCTATAAAATAGAAAGAAAGATAGACAAATGTCTTTCTTTTTTCCATGTAAAATTTTCTATTTTTACAAAAATCTCATTCTCTATTTCGGTAATGAAACTATATACATAGAAGCATCGGTATGAAATGAAATAAAAAGAAATTTTTGGTTTTTTTTGTATTAGATTTGAACAATAATGTTGTCGACTACTGTAAATTAAAATCATTATTATTATTTTCAAAGTTATTTTACCTAAACACATAATTTTTCATCTAAAACTATTGAAAAATTTTAGGACATAATAGAAGTCCCCTTCAAAAATTTTGGATGATGGACAATTTAGAAGCCCTCGGGAGCTTCTATTATTGGAGGAAGGGGGGTTATTATACTTTAATAAAGAAAATCTGTAAGTTGAATCCTTTTCAACTTATTCTAGCCTATAGATAAATATATTTTGCCTATATATAAGATATATGCTTAGATGTAATGAATTACTTCAGGCAATTATCTTGCAAGCTTCTTGAAATAAGTTTCTGAATTCAATTAAAATTTAATTAAAAAATGAAAAAACAAAATGGTAACTTGATAAAAATCATTTCATGATTAATAATAGTATCGAATACACTTCGTTTAACTTCAAATTTATAAAAAATAACAATGTAGTCTCGGAAGATTCGTAGGATAGTGTCCTTTAATATATATATATCTACTAAGACTTTAAAATAAATGACAAATTCCATAATTCTATCCAAGATAATCGTTTTTGTTTTTTTTGCTATGATACAATCAATTTCATTGTTTGAAATAAAAGATTTTACTTATGATTCATTCAAAACAATTGTCAATATATTATCAGCAGTTACACTTGTACAAAAACTAATCTGCGGAAATAATTTTTCAAAACTATTAAACTAATATACACAATATTTTCATTATTTATCATCTGTCATTATCATAACAGACGTGAGAACTATATCTGTGAATGACACTAACAAGAATCAGTTCATTGATCAGTAGTCATCAGTTTTGTTCGTTTTCTAAGAATTCTGAGATGTTTTTTTGACTTAATTCGAGATGAACTAGTAATTTTAAAGTATTTCTAGGAAAAAGATTTGTAGTAAGTAATTATGTGTTTGTTGAAAATGATAATGAATATCAACGTTTTCTATATAAATTTCAAGATAGTATGATAAAATAAAAATTTTAAAGAAATATTATCTATGTTTTTTAACTAAGTTACTTATATATTTGATTATCTTGGTGTTGAAGTATTAGGATATTGTGTTTATTTTTGTATTTAGTAAAACTGTACTATCAATAGATAAATATTTGTTTATTGTTGATATATTTATTTAATCCTATGAAATATACTTTATTTTTATTAAATCTAAAGATAAAGAGAAAAATTCAACTACTTCTTCATCTATGTTAATTCTTTATGAAACTAATGCAACTTTGCTAGTATAAAAGAACATATAATTTCTAGATATTTTACTCTTAACGATTAAACACTTATCGAACGATATTTTAGACCTTGGAGTCTTCTCTTCATGTAATAAGTATCCTAAGAAGAATTTAAAACGAACATTGCTTTGGTATAATGATTGCAAAAATAAGAATATTCAATTTTCTTTTGTTTAATTCTCTTCTTTGCTTAGCATTTATTATTGGTTTTTTTTTCTACGTTCGTTTACCATCTTTTCTCTCTTCTTTATCATTAAATAGGAAGGTAGGATGTTCGTGTGAGTTCTTTAATTCATTAGCAGACTAAAATCATTAGTTCTACTATATATTTACAAATGAGAGTCTTACATATTTTCAAATTCAAAAAACACTTTGAATAAAAATGTATAATGCTCAAATGCTCTGCAAATATGCTTGGCGAAAATTTAAATATGGTTTTACATATAAGTATCATCTACTGTATTTTTAGGTTTTTTTTAATTTTATTTTCACTCTTGAAGAAAAGAACAGTAAGTTGTACATTCTTCATTTGTTTTAGATTGACTGATATGAATAGACTAATACATATTTAATAGGAATCTTCATAATATAATAAACTATTTAATTCAAAAAATAGTCTTGAAGTTATTCTTTTTTGTAAATAATTATTTTAATATATGGAAATAAAATACTCTGATTAATTATTCAGCCATGCTTGTTATCATGAAATCTTAGGCGATTTTCATAACACAGAGTCTCAATTGAATGACAGTTTATGGAATGAACTGATTGAAGTAATGAATTGGAATCATGTGTAACAGCAACATTCATATACGAAATAGAATGTTTTATAGAAAATATTTACATTCTTTACTTGACTTTACTAGACAATTACATCTGATCAAAAATACAATGGTAGAGACTCTATTCGTTAAATAAAGTGTATCATTATATGAAAATGAAATTATTTATGAAGTATTAATTAAATAGTATCTTATGTTTTAAACTTGATATGAGATAGTTTAATTCATTTATTAGTTTAATAATAAAGTGCCATTTCTACAAAAAATATTGTGAAGACAAATAAGCACTAGATTGCTAAATGGTGATCAATTATAGACTTTTGTGTTTTATTTATTTTTTATTTTAGCACTGTGCTGGCAAGACATTTGCTGCGAAATCATCGACATAATTGCCGGCAGGTGAGTACCTAGCAACAACATAGGCGGTACGACCATCGGTACTGAATGCAATTCCAACACCGAGTTTTTTTACGTTTTTCCATACAACTTGAGTAAAATGACCTGTTCCAGATTTGAATCCTGGCGCTTGAAAGTTGTAATCTTTTTTTTCATTGTACCAGGAGTCTGTCGGTTGGGCACCTAGAATAAATATCATTATCGCTAATGAATAAATTTATTAGTGAATCGCATTTTACCTTTCATGTTTTTTATACTCTTTGAGTTATACGCATAATAGAGATTTTCGCCAACATCATTTCTATCACTACTATGAACTAATTTATCAATTTTGACAAGACTCTCAGCATAGGATTGAGCTAATTGACTAAGACCATCATCAAGTGTAAGTGGTGACACACAGTGTTGCGTTCTATACGTATTGTGAGCTTGCAGCATTTCTTTCTGAAATACCTGCTGAGCATCGGTGAAACTATTCGTCTCTTTATTGTCGAGCGATGCTACTAGAATTGAAAAGTTAGTAACACTTGATTTATACTACAGTCAAATTTGTTACCAGCATTGTCTGCTATTAATGTCTTCAAAGACACACTAGCAAAAACAAAAAGTGAAATAAATAGATACCATTGCATGTTGTCAATATTCTTCTGCGATTGATATGACAAGAGAGACGAAATATGCAAGTATTTAAATGACTGAAATAAAAAAAAACAGGATACTAACTTTTCATTTAATGACTTTTTGGTTCATTTCATCTCATTTGGTTTTCATTTATGAGATTGTCTGTTCTACATATTTCATTATGGTGCATGCCATTAGTACTGCTCTCTTGGACAAGAAAAAAACTAGAAGGTGGGGATATAGATTTTGTGTTGGAGTGAATATAAGAAATAAGTACACACATACTTGTATATAACGACGAAGATCGAAATCTGTTCTTTTTGTATTCAAATTTTTGTCAAACTACAGATCATTAACTTTCTAGGTTTTTTTTAGATCATTTTTTGTATATTTGAAAATACTACAGAGGCGATGTTGTTGAGAGTAAATATGGCGTTCTTTTTCTATTTTGCATAATCACATAATTATTAACTGCTAGAAAATTGTAACAAATTGTTGAAACGTCGAGCAAATCAAATATTTGATGGAGTTTGTTGACCTGCTGTATTGACACATTTCAATTTCTAGATGAATGAAAATAGGTGAAAGAATTTTTAAACTTGCTCCTGCGACTATAGTCTTTTGACACTTACCAATCAGATGCGAGTAAAAGACAAAGTTAACACAAGATGTAGAAAGAATTAAGAATGAACTATCGAATATAGTTTTAGTCTTAATTGCATGGTCGATTTGGATAAAATTTGAAAGGATTATTGAGTGAACGAACATTGAAGTGTTTGAGAAGTTTTAATGAGTTTCTAGCAAATAATAGCAGTGAAATAAAAGCAAGGTACATTTATCTTAAAGTATGCACTCTCTTCGTCATCGACTAAGTATAGCATCTGATCTTATTGATCAACAGGAGTATTAATATCTCAACTAAATCCATTTTTGAAGGATTCAAATGAATTTGTTTATTGAATTTTCTTTGGACAAAGCAAAAAATCGACACAAAGAGCTACACTAACTACTACTAAGATGAAAAACTTAAATCAATATCGAATCTTTGCACTCGATTATTATCACAATCGACAACATAGAGATTGCCCTGCTGATCGAATGATAAACCATTAGGACCATCGAGCTGATTTGGCTCTCTTCCTTTACCATTTCCACCAACAATGATATTGCCTTGCTTGTTTCCTTTCAACCAACGCATAATTCGATGATTCTCAAAGTCAGCTACGTAGATGGTACCTAATTGATCGACAATTAATCCTCGAGGACGTGACAATTGTGAAGGATCATTCTCAAAACCACAACTAGCGGCAATTTCAATACCTTCGGTTGCACCTTTCATCCATTTCATAATACGGCGATTGATATGATCTGATACATATAGTGAATAATCCTTGTCGATGAATATGTAAGTTGGGCGATTGAACTGATCAAAATTATTCCCTTTTCCATTACCACCTGCTACTACTTCTCCATGAGTGTCTCCTATTCGCCAACGTGTAACCTCATTTTTTATATCATCAGAAATATAAAGAAATCCATTGTCATCCATCGTTAAACCGAAACAGTCTATATTCGAGATGATTGTTTCTCCATGTATGCCATCTTGACAAGGCCATCGTACCACTCGTCGATTTTCTGCATCACAGATAATAAGACTATCAGTGTTTATATCGACGATTACATCTGTAGGAAGACTTAACTGATCATATCCACTTCCTTGACCATTTCCTCCAGCAATAACTTGACCACTAGTCTCGCCAAATTTCCACTTCACAACTCGATGATTGTAGCGGTCAACAATATAAATATTTTCGTTATGGTCAACAAATAAACCACACGGATGATTGAGCTGGTTAAATCTATCACCTTGTTGATTACCTCCAGCCACAGTTACGCCGTTCTGTGACCATCGTGTATGGACACTAATATTAGTAGAACCTAGTGGCACTAAAATAAATGATAGACTCAAATTGATGGCGAGTTCTAATCAGTTTTCTGTTAAGCTTTGATATCATCGAATAAGAAAGGCTTTTCTTGGGGGGATACAACAAGAAGAGTAACCTGATATTCTTTCAGTTGGGGCTTATAACACTGACTATATCATCTTATACCTCGAAAAATTTCGGATAAAGAATCAGAATTTGTTTATCTAATTCAATTATCTATCAGTGAACTGTTGCTAATAAGTTGCATTTCTGTTTCTAAAATACATCATAGTTATGTTCTTTTCCTTGACAAAAGAAACTTAGCAAAGTTCTAGAAAACTATCATATCCCATTAAGCGCTTTGAAAAGTTCCTCATTCTCACTATCCAGTCTGTTTCCCAGTGCTTTAGAGATTGAAGCAGTCATAAATCAAATGAGTGCACTTTACAATGAGAGACTTTTCATTGAATTTGAGAGATAGTGATATTTTTCCAAAACTTCATTATACCTGTGAAAACGTGAATGTCATTTAAACACACTGATATTGTATTATTTATCATCGAAATCACTTCATGCGACATGTTGTCAAAACTTGTTCCGTATGTCAATGCTTAATCCTTTGATCAGTAAAAAAATACTCACTAAAGTCTAAAAATACAGTTAGAGTCTTACCAATCGATGTAGCCGATGTTGTATATTTTACCGACTCACTTGTCTCCAATATTGTTGCGTTATTTATCGTACATAGATTGGCAGGCAAATTCGGTTGATTAGGTGGAGCTATCGTTTGCCATGGAGCTTCTGTTTCTTTTAACTGAATGATGAACAAGTTTTCAGCCGGACTCCATTTGCCTCTCACTTTGAAATAAGTACCAGGCATCAGAAGAATTTCATTTTCTCTTGGAAAATGAGAATGTGCTTTGATCGCTTTACCATTGACGGCTTCGATATTAAATAAAGTACGTACACCCGAACGACCTACAAATCTTTCCATGACTTCCATTGTGTCTGTACATGAGCTGATGCCCCACCATATCTGATCTGTTTTGTATTGATTATTAACATCCCCACGAATACCACGCCAAATCGTATCTTTGATTGATGGAAGTTTGTATAATGCAGTGAGAAATAGTTTAAGATAAAGAAACCATGGTATAAGATCTATTCGTTGTTCAGAACGCAATGTTTCGTTAAGAAGTGTGTAGAGACTAGGATGGGGCTTTTGCCATTGCATCGTATATAGATGAATAGCGGCTGATTCATCAGGAGTGAGACTATCTGATGGTTCACGCGTGTTCCACTTGGCAGTCGATACCATATTGTCCAGATTATGGAGCAGATTTCTCAATGGTTGAACAGCTTCTTCGAGTGACACAAGTGGCTTCTTTTCATAACCTTCAATGGGTGTTAAGGCTCGAAGAGGCTCTTTGTCAGCGTCAAGAAAACGATTAGATATACGACTTTCGGTCGTCATTAGTATTGAGCTTTCGGATAAATTGAAGAACTATGTTGATGACAGGCAGTATCTTTGTTTTTAGTCAAATTTTTTCTTTGTCGAATGTTGCTGATTGAGAAAATTTGATCGATTTCATAAAATGTCGATATTTTTATTTAAGAAAGATATGTTTAAATTTATGTGTGACCAGATAAATGCCAAGATTGAAGCATGTATCCAAACAGTCAATACACTTTAATTATCTAGAAATCAGACACTGAAATATTTTCAATAGACATTGCATAATGTAAGAGTGCCGTGAAAGAGTGAAATTTCTATAATATATTGACCAAAGTGAATCGTCATGATATTGTCTAAATAAAATACTGAATATACTAATTCTTATGTTAATTCTGATATCAATACTAGACTATCGACAAAAAAAACAATGAAACAATCGAAGGAAATGATCATATTCAATCAAAAATCTTTTAGACGAAACATTTTTCAATAGCAATAATTAAGTAAAAATTGTTTCGTTTGGTAAAAAAAGGCCATAACAATCACAACAGCCACGTGTTTTTTTTTACCTACTCTTACGAACGCAGCAATCTCTTGGTGGAAGATGAAAAAAGGAAGACAGAACAAATGCAGACGGCAGAACAAGAAAACCGAACAAAAGAATGTAAATATGAGTCATCTTTATATAGAAAACCTTATTGGTAGACTCAAATAACAAAGTACTCTTCGTTTTTCTTCTTCGTTGAAATCTTTCATAACATAGTTCAAGCTTCTTGAATTATGTCAGAAGAAATTAGCCATTCAGTAAATTGTTGGTAACGTCAGGAATGAACACTACGTGAGTAATTTTCGAACGAACAAGATACACTCTAAAAACAAAAAGGTATCTGAGTAAACCGTTAAAGGGTTTCCGATTCTGTTTCCATCGGAAGATCAAAATTTCCGTTATAGTGAAACATAAAAAATCCACTTGGAAATCGATAAATGGTTTCCGAGTGCCAAAACGTCTCTATTCACAAAACCTCAAGAAGAACCAACTACTGCTCAACCGTCACTCGACAAGATACGTAATCACCACAGAAAGCAGGCTACATCCATCTGCTGTTTAACCTACCCATAGTAACACACAAATCTGACGGACATATAAGACAGTCGGAAGTATTTTCAATTTTTATCCGAGCCTTCCCAATATTATTGCGAAACTAACTGATCCCACAACTCCCAATCATATTAGGCTAAAAGAAAAGAAAGATACATAGTTTGTGTTGATAAAAATCAAATAAAAATATAGTGCTACTTTTATAAATCATATCAAATCATCACGTTCATTGATTCGAAATCGAATCTAGATAAATAAAAAGAAATATAATTTTAGTTTTTGATAATCATATTAACTTACCACATTGGTTTGCAGAACTTTGAAAATAGAGAGTGAAAAAATGATTGTAAGTAGTTCTGATTAATCATAGTTAGTTTATGAAGTGTCGGATATTGATAGAAACTTTTTAACGGAAGCTAGCTGTTCTTTTAGTGTTCATTTGTACTAGTATTTAGTTATGAGTCTATTGATTTAAACATGAAACTTGGATGACATTATTTGTAGGAGTATGTTTGCTAGGGTAATGTAGATGTTCTTAGAGTTATAAGGCTAAGGTAAAAAGGCAGCGACTCCAATATGACTTTTATATGCTTATGACTGTTGAATATGTTGACGATTGTTTTTCAAATGAAAAGGGAAGAGGAACATATTTAAGAGCCATTTGATGTATGTAGGGCTTGAAATATACTAAGTAGATTTGGAACGGGGAGCTAGTTTATGAGCGTCATTTTTTATTTGATAAATGAAGTCGTTTATTAAAAAAAAAATTAAAAAATAAAGCGTAGTTAAGATAATAGACAGTATGGATTAGTTGAAAAATGTGTATGTATCAGTTAATACTTGGTTAGAGAAAATAAATAAAAAGGCAAAATTTCTGCTATTTGAAAATAAGAAGATAGCGATTTTATGAAAAAGTTTTTTTGTATCTTTTTTCAGTGAAAAATGATCTAAACAAAGATAATTCATTACTGAAAGAATAGATGAAAAGAAAGATCGAAATGTTTTATTTGATTTTACTGTATTATCGATTGCTTTCATCATTCATACGATGCATATATGATAAGTAATTTTCGAATTCTTTCCACAGACGTAAAGCATTTTCTTTTGAAAAAGATTATATAGATCAAAAGTTATAAAGAAGATCACAGCAGAATGTACAATCTCATGTATATGTTGGAGATGATTTTAAAACAAATTTTGAAGTCGATTCCGATATATATATATATACATCTATATGAATTAATTTTTGCTGTTCAATACAGCTTTTTATTAAAAGATATCAGATAAACATCGTTTGTCTTGTCACTTGGTTAACTTTCGATCAATCACAATATTAATACGACACACTTCGCTTCAGTTAAAGCGAATCATAGTTGAACATAAGTTCAGTGACATGAATCTATCCATTAAAGATTGAATGTTCTTTTTTTTTATTCGATTATAGAATACAATGAAGAAAATAATTGAAGCAAAGGACGATTCTCTAGATCCATGATTCTTACTATTGTGAAAATGATCGAACAACATATTGCTTAAATACCATACAAATGACATTAATTTATTAAAATATGAACTCAAGTGACGGCTTTTCACCTTGCTCGAACGCTTTCGATCCTACGACTTTCAGACATTAACCAATTATAGTGCTTATTTAGAACCAGAAGAATCTGTCGTTCTTACTTTCTGCAATTTTTAAAATCCATAATATTCATTATGCTAATTGTATTATTCATCTCTTTCGTTTACGACATGTTAACATTGTACTTTTTATTATATATGGAAAAAGAGACTGATACTATAATGTACAAATAACATTAGAACTATTCGGAAGTACGACATGGCTTCACATTTTGTAGAAATGTTTTAACAAAGAAAAAATACTAAATAATTCAATTTGCCATTTTACAACTCAATACAAATATTTAGAGTGAAGCAAAAACTAATATACCAAAAAAAAGATTTGAGCTTCAGATCTTCAGTTTTAAGAAGCTCTCAGACTCTCATAACAAACTTTGTGAGTATTTCAGAAACATGTGAAACTTCGGAAACCTTTGTAGAATATTTAATTGAAATTCGAAAATCTACCAGAAACTGCAAATGTATTTTCGCAAATCCCTTCGGCTACCTACGGAGTTTTTTCGATAGTATGAGTTTTTGACAATAGCTTAGCAGTTCCTGAGAAAACTATAAGGTTTCTGACAGCAAGAAAAAGGTATTTTCAAACACTTTCAGAGTGTCCAATTTAATATTGTCGGAAACCTAAGGGTTTCTGAACGTTCGCAAACCAAAAGGGTATTTTTAGAAACGCTTGAAGTATTTGAAAGCCCTCTCGAAAATCTAAAAACGTTTCCCCGTCCGTTTGAGCTTTTCCGAATATGGATTTTTTTTAGACTATAGAAAACTGCGATTTTTATGTTTAGAAAGAGCAGACAATGATTCATCGGATCCCATCAGATACATTTTCTCCAATTTTTACGAAAAATTTCTATTGAATTACTTCAAAAACAAAATTGAGTTTTTAGTAGGAACCTAAAAATGAGTTTTCATGAAAACATAACGAAAATATTATTTTATCTCATAGTTTTCTCAAAAAAAAACCGGATAGAAACTCTTAGTAAAACCTCTAGAAATATTGAATAAATAAAGTTCAAATTTGAGTCTTGTGCAATTTTATAGATTTCTGATTCTTAGTTTTAATGCACTTCAAAATATCGAAAAATGACTGTGACTACTGGACATAGTGCATTCGCTTTTATAAAGCTCAATAGGAAAGTCTCAACAAAATTTGACTCAAGTATATTTAATACAGGATCGGATGTGTCTTTATCTGCACTTTCCAAAAGGAAAAACTGAAGTTCCTTCCCATGTTTGTATCAAAAGCTATTCAAAAGTCACGGTTCTCATTTTTGCATATGAATATAATCAGTTTTGCGAAGAGAAACAATATGCTATTTCGAGAATGCTTTTACCCTGAATTCATATTTGTATCAATTGAAAAATATGGGAAATTTCGTCGCGATTGAATGTCAACCTTTATCAACATTTACGCCGGTTCTTGTGACCAATCACCAAACCGTAAAAATTCTTTATTTGTGATTGGATGCTCCGCAGGAAAAATAGTTATAGTCAATATTTTAAAGATATTTTATTTTCTTAGAAAAATGCTTCCATAATATGATAACGCTCGAAATTCTCTTTATTAACCTGTATATTAATAGTGTGACTAACATTTATTTTCCGAAAAAATATTCCGAATACAATTAAGGTACTGTCATCCTCAAATTCACACCAGCTGCTCTGATAGAGCTTTAAAATCTTTATCATCCTGCACTTTGTCCGCAATGACGACGTGGATGTGAGGGCTCATTTCTCTAGGAGTATATTTAATAAAAAATATTCATATTACAAACATAACTCGATGAGTCCTATCAGATGGAGAAAACTTCGGCTTGGGGGGATTGGCACAATGGTAATATGTTGGATTCTCGAGAATAAGCATCGTGTTCGAGCCTTCCCTCCCACAGCACCATGTTTAAATAACTCTGTTCTATTCTACACGTCGCAAGCTACTCGTTCGTCGATGGTCTATGCATGCCACTCGCATACCAAAATGGTTCGACTCGACAAGCCATCGCTCATAACTCACGTTATCTATGCCCACCGTTTTATATGCTTCATGTTTTGTGCTTTTCTTTAATTGCTTTTCATTCTTTATAAGCAACTTGTTTTCAAAATCATTTGTCCCTTTAGGCCCTATCATGGGTAGAGGGTTAAATAAATATCGCATGAAAAGAAAACTTCGGCTTGATGGCGTGGGAAAGTGTGAATATGGGATGTAAATAGATGAGAATGAAAGAGAACACTCGCTCTTATGCCATACACTATAATGACATTTATTACTTGCTTATAGTCATTACTTTTCTTTAACAAATATATATTGAAAGATAAGATAAAAAATTTTCTTTTCTAACGCGACTTAAAGCAACTCCAAACAAAATTTACCCCATAAAGCCATTTTCCCATTTTAGATTTTGTCGGATACGACGATGGCTAGTGGAAACTACGAACTTTCAAATGGAATGCCCATCGATAATAGTCTCTCGTGTACTATTTGTGATGTATTATTCGAAAATCCGAGGTGTACACCTTGCAAACATACTTTCTGTGGCAAATGTATAAATCAGTGGATTAAACAAGGTAATGAATCATGTCCAACTTGTGGAAAATCCATTTCACAAAATGATCTTACTAAAGCTCCAAAAGCTATACAGAAAATGCTCCGTAATTATAAGTTCAAATGTACAAAATGTGGAAACATGGAAATAAAAGGGAGTGCTTTGAATAATCACATACGGCGAGAATGTCCAAAGATTTCTGTTATCTGCCCGGCGGCATCCGTCATGTGTCCATGGAGTGGATATCGTGATGAACTTTCTGATCATCTTAGAAAGTGTGCATATAAGCATCTACAGCCATTGCTTGATGATCTTATGTCTCATAATAAATACCTTGCAAAGCAGGTAGCTGAGTACAAGGATCGAATAAAAAGGCTGGAAACAGAGGTTTTGGAAGCAAACGAAACTATTCAACAATTCGAAGAATTGTGCGATGAGTACGATGCTCGTATAAAACTTTTCACGGAAGAAAGTCAAGGTAAGCAAAAGCATAAGAGTGAATCAATTGAACATCTATCATTTTTTATGGAGTTTGCTTTTGATATCTACCGTGCTACCCAAGCAGACAAACATTTTCAAAAACGC